AGCCTACACAACTCTGTGCTGACGCCTCCCCCCATTGGGACGATTCACCAAGAAGGAGCCTGAATAATATTTTACTTGAACGTTTTTTAATTTTTTAACTTTAAATTTTAACGTTGACGACTCGGTTTTGAGGGTGGTCCTTTAGATGCAAGTGCTATACCTGCATTCAAGATACTGGGAAGTGTTGTGCTTTACACTCCGTTATATGTAATAGTTTCCACGAATAATTACATATTGTGAATGTTGAGCTGTGCCAGTGTTTTCATGGTTTGTTATAAGTGCCTCTGAAGATGGTTCCTTGGAACCGAAACATGTAAGGCAGATGAGATAATTAAGTGATCAAAATATACATTGTTGCACTTGACGGAAAATCTATTGACAATTAGTGAATGAAATAGTTTCATATATGTTCCTGTATACCTTTCTTTTTCTCTAATAGTTGTAAATATAGTGAAAGGTTAATTTACTGCATGTTCTGCTTCTCTAACATATAATACATTATATAATGTAATACACTTGGTCGTTGACTTACGACTGACTTCCATTCTGACTGATAGGTCATAAGTCGATCTGGTTGTATGTCGGCCATATATTTATTAACACTATTTTTTTAACCTTTCTAATCTTTTTATAATTTATTTTTAAAAACTTTTACATTTTAATCGTCTTTTATTTTTCATTTTAAATACAGTAATGTTTTTATCTTTTACTTAGCGATACTGTACATATCTTTGTTTCTATGCCTGGGCTGTCTGTACATACTGTGGTTGTAAGTGTGGCCGGTCGTAAGTCGACGACCAAGTGTATATAATGTGTCATGAAATATATATGAAACATTATAGGCTGCGAAGGCTGGATTACATTTTCTCCATATTGTAAAGTTATGCATTAAACTCCTGGTTTTCCAGTATACTACTCTGTCCAAAAAGTATCCGACCTTGGGCTGGGAAAAAAAAGTTCTGTATCTGGGTGGTTACAATACCTAATCGCCTTCAAAGTAGGCCCCTTGTGACTCCACACACTTAGCTCAGCGGTCCTTCCATCGCTGGAAGTAATTCTGGAAGACTTCTTTTGGAATGGCATGCAGCTGCACCGTTGAGTTCTGCATGATGTCCTCTCGGCTGTCAAAACGGCAGCCTTTTAGCGGTGTCTTCAATCTTGGGAACAGCCAGAAATCATAAGGAGCCAGGTCAGGAGAGTAGTGAGTCTGGCAAACCTGTGGAATGCCGTGCTTGGCCAGGAAACCCTGGATCAGGTGCAATGAATGAGCTGGGGTGTTGTCATGATGCAGATGCCAGTTGCGTGTGTCCCACAGCTCCAGTCTCTTGCGCCGAACTGCATCACGAAGATGGCGGAGGACTTCTTGGTAGTACTCCTTATTGACAGTCTGGCCTAGTGATGCGTACTCATGATGCACAACACCCCGGTAATCGAAAAAAAAAACAGTATCACTTTCACATTGCTCTGAACCTGTCGTACTCTTTTGGGCCTTGGGGATGTTGGTTGCTTGGTTGTGATGCCTGGACCTTGGTTTCCAGGTCATATCCGTACACCCACGACTCATCACCAGTGATCACAGTCTTCAGGAACTCAGGATCCCTGTTGGCGCACTCCAGCATGTCCTGCGCGACCTCAAGGCCGAGTTCTTGCTGCTCCGGCGAAAGCAGCTTGGGCACAAATTTTGCTGCCACTCTTCGCATGCCAAAATCCTCAGTTAAAATTGTGTTTGCGGAACCTCTGCTGATCCCAACCTCATCAGCAAGTTCACAGATGGCCAAACGATGGTCCTCCATGATCAGTGTTCGCACTTTTTCAATGACATCAGCATTGACGGTCTCCCGGAACACTGCTCACTGTCCGCCGACATACGGCCATGTTTAAAGCGGTTGAACCACTCTTTAATTTGAGTGACCCACATTGCATCATCGCCGAAAGCCTCCTGAATTTTGCGAATTGTTTCCGCTTGGGTATCCTCAAGTTTCTGACAAAACTTAATGCAGTATCGCTGCTCCAAGCGTTCTGTCATCTTGAGCGAAACGAGAATGCGACGAACACGTGTTACACCACTTCGCTATGGCAGCCACAGACGCATCCAGCAGTGTCGTGAGTCAGGAAAATATCACGCATGCGCATGAAAGTCCCTTCTACCACTACGCTCAGTTTCCCCACCCCTTTGGCCATTATTTACAGCGGAAAAAAATAAAGTCAGATAATTTTTTGACATATAGTAGAGTATCCAAAATTCTTGTGCAACTGGCAAAATTTTCAAAGAAAATTGACCATTTTATAAAGTTACTTCAGAAAGAAAGTTGTGAAGCACATATTCACCCACCATGTGGTAGTTCTGCTAACTGGCACTAGCAACACTGCTCGTCTTCCTTCCTCAGGCGGGTGCAATTACAACCATAGTGATGTGTCATTAGGGTAGAGTTTGGTTGAATTTATGACCATGTTTTCAGATGTTGAAAAACTTTTACCCGTCAGTCTGTCATGTCTCCTAGAAACACTTGTGCAGAAAGAAAAGCAAAAACATGTTGTTTTGACTGTGGAACATAAATTGCAAATATTGAAATGTTTAAAAAGTTGTGAAAATTGCTTGAGAAATGGGTTCTATAAGAGTTCTACTCTTGAGAACTAAAATATTTCTGTGCAGAACATTATTGTCATATTAGAACAGTGGTTGTGAACGTTTTTGGTTGACTGATTTCAAACTTCAAGTGAAATGTCATATAACCCTTTTCAGTATAAACTTAATTTTTATCTCAAGCTATGTATGCATTAGAAACACAAGGTACAGGAACATATTTTAAGTGTGCCTCATTTGTTGTACACACATAAAGATTTGTTCAAACAAAAGTTATGACATTTTTGTGGGCCCATTTGAACTGTGTTTGACAATATATGAAATACGTCTCACATACCCTCATCACAAGGCTTTATGTAACCTTGTTTCAGATTCTGTATGTTAGACTACATGATATTGTATCCAGACAACTTTATGTATTTTTCTGTTAATGGTTTGAATTTTATTTGCAGCATATAAGGAATGAATGTTTGAATTATGACTACACATTTCTGGAAGCTAGAAAATCACAAAACAAGAACCTGAACAGGTATCGAGATGTCAGCCCATACGATCATAGCAGGGTGGTTTTATCTAAAGGACCATGTGATTACATCAATGCAAATCTTGTTACGGTAAGTTTCTTGGCATCTGAGGATTGAGGGCCTCATGCCATGTACTTTGACAGATGGGTACCAGTTGCTTGGAAGATCCTGTTTCCTCGATCTTCATGTCTTCTACACTTAAGATGCAGGTTTCTTCAAAGCACCTCGATACATATCTACCAAACTGCATGGAGTCACATGTTCTGAATTGTGGATGAGATGGTTTGACAGAACAACTTAAACAGTTGGGAAAGAATTGTTAAATACACTGTTAGACAATTAGCAATAGGTTTATTTAAAATAAACTGGGTGAATTCTTTTATTCCAGAATTTCCTTCAAAATTGCTTGAGCAACCTGTATGAAGCAAAGACTATTTTTCGTNTTTTTTTTTTTTTTTTTTTTTTTTTTTTTTTTTTTTTTTTTATATTTGTCTTAATGTTAATTAGGACCGCTTCTGTGGACTAGTGGTCAGAGTTCTTGGCTACAGATCCAGAGGCCTCGGGTTCGATTCCCCGCGCTACCAGATTTTTAGCGGCCTTTGTAGTCTAGAGGTAACGTTCCCACCTCATGACTCGTAGTACGTGGGTTCAAATACCCGGCAGAGGTCGTCGAATTTTTAAGGGCGGAAAAATTCAGGGAACAAGTCCTCCGGGAGCGACTTTAAGCCGTGGGTCCCGTGTCGTAGCTTTACGGCACGTAAAAGAACCTCATATCTCCAAAGNGAGGTCACTGAGCCAAATTACGGACGTTTCCCGCCCAACAGCAGTCTCTAATACCTCTAGAAGCATTATAGATACCTCTCAGCTAGTAGAGCCGGTCTCACTGGCTGGGTGGGACTGATGATAAGCACCAGTACCGGTAGGATATAGAGACTGGTAGAAATCATAGAGGGAAGCACAATGGACCAATACAGGTCTAAGTGCATGGGGAAACCCACCTTCTTCAATAACTAACTAACTAATGTTAATTAGTTTAGTTTTTCCCAGAGTTTGTACCACAGCTCCCCAGAGGGTTATGAAGATTTCTTGTAGGGGTGATTCTGGAAAATGGACTGATAATAAAGAGTGAGGATTAATTATAATTCTACAGGTCACATAAAATTACAAATATGGAATTAATGGAAGTTTTCAAACCGCTAAATGAGATTGAAATCATTTATTGGTTGGGCTGGGTTGGGGCGGAGCGGGTGGTAGGGCTCCGATATTTTGTAACCAACTTGAGGGAACCCTAGACTGAAAAAATTATTGGAATCACTGTATGTGTATTAGTTGATATGAGTAATATCGGTTACATTTTAGAATAATTGGTTACAATTTATGCCAGGTAAAATTCAGTAGACACTAGAGGTCATTGTATTTTTTCTAGGAATTTTGTCTCTGCTATTATTATATGTTTTGTTTAATTTTGTACTAGCAATGTGCTTATGCAAATCAGTGTCCCTTTTGTCATTGGCCTACTATAACACATGAATGCATTACTGATGACATCCCAGATAATCAGCGATACCAGTGCCATCTGTTGTTATGCTTGTGTACAAGATTGGCAAGTGGCACACCCTGTGGCTGCATGACGATCTCCCAGTCGACTCGTTTACTCAGGGTCATCTCACAATTGCATTTTTAGTTCTGTCTATATATAGAGATGTATTTACTGATTTAAATTCGTGAAGTATGTTTGTGCTTGTGTTGTAAGTTATTTTATGTTTTGCGATAATCTTCATTGCTCATGTGGCTGAGAATTGTATAAACAATGTTGAAACTTCTGACACAAATAAAGTTCAGTTTGATTAAGCCTGAAGAAAGAAGTGTCATTGCCTTTTTTGGCATCAAAACTTACATCATGATAGAAAATTACTGAGCATGTGGCACAGTTATAATGCTCTGTGCTCAAGTATTGGAGGTGCACAGTTTGGATCTTGGCTGGGACACTGGCAGTCATGACAGATTTTTCGTTGTTTTCTTCAGTTCCATAAGATGAATGTAAACTGTTGAATTGCACTCTATAAATGGTATCATATAATTTAAATACTTATTACTATATGTACGAGTATCTGGTTTCGTACTCAGTTAATATATTCAATCATATATCTGAATTATTTTAAGTCATATAAGATATGTATTAAAATTTGAGTGAAAATCTCAACATTAAAAATGCTTAAAGACATACATATGTGTGTGTGAAACAAAGTATACGTATCATAAAATGTAATATGTTGTATTACAGTGTTTAAACAATGAATTTAAATTTGTTAAAATTTGTTTTCCTTTATACATCTGGTATTTGTCATGTACTACCTTCTGTTGTTCTGCTTTATAGTTATTAACTAAAATATGGTTATATATATATATGTTATAATGTGTTTTGCTACAGAAGATGTCGTTTGGATTGTTACTTGGTTTATTTAACAACCTACAGATCGTAACTACAATTCCTTATGACACTCTTACGGTTTCCACAATTTATAAACCCTACACACTAATCTGTTCACTCTGTCTTCAGTAGTCTTCACATATTTATAACGCGAGAGCTGTCCAAGTCTCTCTGAATTACACACTCCCAAGATAACTGTTCTACAGCACACATAAAATCTTGAAGTCACACAATACGTCTTCACTGGCTGACTTCTCAGTTATTGCACAGTATCACATAAGATCTTCTAACCATGTGTTTGGGTCTTCTTCCCAGGACTGCTGCTATATGTCAACTGTCTTCAGCGGCTGCTCGATCCGCACTGTGTCACTCCTGCTCAGACACTGTCTCACATACTGCTCAGCCGACTTTTTATACTGTTCGCTGTTGCCTAGTCGCCTTGTTTACGGTGTTGCTGGTACGCTTCCGAGAGTTGCCTATTGCCGTGTAGCAACCGCGGTGCCCTGCGCCACTTCACTGTGGGAAGCGCTGCCACGTCACCACAGGGGAGGGGGGGTGGAGTGTTGACTGGCCTGTTGCCGTAGCAGCTGCAGCGATGTTACACCACCGCTGGCAGGGGAGGGGGTGTCCTGCATAGTGCGAATATGTCACAATATATATATATTATGGTTGTTAGCTGTTATCTTAATTGTAGTGTTATGCAATTTCTTCAGGTGTTTTTGTGGAACTTTGATGTTCGATCGTGGTTGGGTGTGCATTTATTCCTACTCTCATTTTGTTTTCCTATTGTGGCAGCTGCACTGCTCGGAAATTAGTTGTTGCTGCATTCTATAGCATTTGTTCTACGTTTTCACTATATGGTTTTCCCTTATGTTTAGGGTTTATCTGCCTCTCGGGTTTTCGTGCCCTGTACCATTGTGTGTTGAATTCTGACTGTTGGAATAGAAGGTCAGTAGGCCACGACTGCTTCCATCCATGTCCTTCCAAGTTTATTATTAATATGTTATTTCACCATTCAACATTATATACTCTAGCCACATTGTAAAATAACCCACAAAGAAGCCTGTTCAAAATGATAGGCATTGATGTGTCGATATTGAGTGGTTATTGTGCTGTGTTAAAGTGGTAATTTCAAAACAGTTTACTGCCTCTTTCAAGGTAACATTCATACAAAGTTGTGTCAGAAGGATTTTAAGGAGCAGAAGAGAAAGGAGGCAGCAGTGTGAGGTTCGAGGTTCTCACAGTAGTGGCTATGAAGAATATTTTCTTATGGGTTGTGAAGCCATGCTGTCTGGCAGGGGTTTACTGCTTGTTGCTTGCTTAGCTTACTCTTCAGACCTGAAGATGGAGGCAGTATTTTTGTCTGAAATGTCAGTAAGCTTATACAAGACTACAAATTCGAGAAGACAGAACTCTACAAGTATGAAGATAGTTTCTCCAAAATGTCGTTAATTTGTAGCATGTAAGCATGACACAGTACTCAGAAAACTATAGTAATGTGAACCACACAGAATGTTGCTGTCAAATGGGTAGCACTCATGCTTCATATTTGGGAAGCCCCAGGTTCAAATCTTTGTTCCAGATACCTGCTGTTCTGACTGAGGCTTCCATGATTTTCCTTAGACATTCCAGACATTCTGCAGTAGAGTTTCAGATTAACCATTCCCTTCTCTTCACATCCTTTCTGATTCGTTGTTCCCTGGTCATCCTACCATTTGACACTGTGTACTCTGAGCCATACTTAGTGAGTTGGCTCAGGCAGTAATACTTCTGGCTTGTATTCAGGTTCAGACCTCAGGCCTGACTGAAGCTTTCATGGTTTTCCTCAGTCCCTCCAGGCAAATGATGGGATGGTAATGATTGGTCACTGTATAGCCTGAGCTACTGACAGTGTCATTAAATAAACCACAAATAAGTAAAATAATGTGTAGTAAGTAACTAACCAACCAGCAAGTTCAGTGGAATGCAGTCCATCTCGAGAAGCTAATAGTTGCTCTGCTACTGGAGGGATTTCGACCGTCTGATGGAACCCAGAGGTTCACTACCATGTTCACAACAGCCCACCACTGGTCCATGTCTTGAGCCAGACGATCCTTTTCACACTCTTGTGTCCTGTTTTTCAACATCCATTTCAGTATCCTCCCATCTATGTCTAGGTCTTCTAGTGGTCTCTGTCCTTCAGGTTTTCCTGTCAAACTTTTGTAGGCACTTCCTTTCAGCATGAAGCACTTTGAGGACTAATAAGATATCGGTACGTTTTACAGATGGAGCGGGCCCACCGGCGCTATATCCTGACCCAGGGTCCACTACCTCACACCACGGGCCATTTCTGGTTGATGGTTTGGGAGCAGAACTGTAAAGCCGTTCTCATGCTCAATAGGATCATAGAAAAGAATCAGGTAATAAGCATGAGAAGTTCTCATAGCAATGACTGAATATTATGGTCTCATGGGATGTGGTGCTGTGTAGTCTGGTATGGTACTCATGAGGTTTAGGTGGAGGGGCGAATGCTAAGTGACCCTTGCAGTGTGCCTATTCATGATATGTTGTGCATTCCCTTTCTAAAATTAGCCCTTTAGCAGCCCTGAATTTCTCATAAAGCACAGATTTTTGTGTAATGGAGCCCCTTGATAGTCGCTTGGCTCCATAAAATGGTACTCTTGTACCAAACTACACTGTGTTGTGACCCAGAAGACTAATCTCGGTAAGAACTAACTTGAATCATTGTAATCACCTTCTTTAAGTATTTTGTTGCTGTTTAATTCATGAGTGAAGAATATTCTTAACCAGCCACTCCTGTCTGCAGGAATTTGCAGAGTACTGCTTACTGTTTACACTGATAACAAAAGGTAAAGGTGAACTTGTCCCTTTGCTTAATTAAGCACTATCCCATGAAGATATGAAGGAAAGGAGTTATAGCTCCACCATTTTTGACCTTGACACTAGGTTGAGGTGAGTGGTCAGCTTCATGCCCTAGCTGCTTTATCCCTGTAGAAAGGTCCCCCAGTAGAGGCCTCCGTAGTCTAGGGGTAACATTCCCACCTCATGACGTGGGTTCAAACCCGGCGGAGGTTGTGGAATTTTTAAGGGCGGAAGAATTCAGGGAACAAGTCCTCCGGGAGGGACTTTAAGCCGTGGGTCCCGTGTCGTAGCTTTACGGCACGTACCTCATGTCCCAAAGGGATCTCTGAGCCAAATTCAGCACAGTTCCCGCCCAACAGTAGTCTCTAACGCCTCTGGTAGATGGGGGAAGCATCGAGAGATACCGCTAAGCCAGTAGAGGCCGAACTCGCTGGCTGAGTCGGGACTGATGGCACGCACCAATACCGGTAGGGTATAGAGACTGGTAGAATATCACATGGGGACGTACAATAGACCACTGGTCGCGGTGCATGGGGAAACCCACCCCCTCCAATAATAATAATAATAATAATAATAAGGTCCCCCAGTACTCATTGTATAGGAGGCTGGGTGGTCCATAGATCCAGATTGTAGACGGTTGTAGTGCAATGGTTGTTTGATGTCCACCCCATGAATCTCATCAAATTAAAATCTTAGGTCAGATAATATAACAACATGACAGGACAAAATGTTTCTCTTTTGGAATGCACTCTTGTTTGTGCATGTAGCAATATTTTGCTATTCCTGGACCTAGGTACATCATTGGACGTGAAGTACTACAAACCTCTGCTGTTGCTGGAAGCAAAAATGTTAAGGAGCAGTGTAGTCTGCCTGTATCACTGACATGTTTAAATAGTGCAGGAATATTTCCAGGTAAAATGCCATCAGTACTGGCCTTTGGGATCTCAGCCAGGAATTGACAATGTAATGGAGCTGACAGATGTTGGCCTTAAGGTGCAGTTCATATCTGAGGATGAAGCTCCATATTATACTACAAGGATACTAAGGTCAGGATCATAAGCTCTTCTCAAACTCTGCCACTGCATGAAAATCCTTATGTGAAATTATATGTTTTTCAGCAAAGACCAAACAAACATTGATATGTGCCATCTGCTGTGGGAAGGAGGATGCATCATTGCAGTCGGTGACATAGACTCGTATACATATCATCGTTAGAAAGGGACTAGATTATACGAGGGTAAGTCAATAAGTAAGTTACAAATGGATATAGAACTTAAACAAACAAGAGTAGTGATTTGAAAAATGCTTTCATTTCTCAACATAATCTCCCTGTACATTGAGGCACTTGTCCCATTGTTTCACAAGCCCCTGAAAACCAGCAGCATAAAATTCTTTGGGCTGCTGTCGGAACCAGGCAGGGACTTCCCTTTCTACAGCTACATCATTGGGAAAATGTTCAGCTGAAAGATGATGTTTAAGAGGGCCGAACAAATGGAAGTTGCTTGGATCAAGGTCAGGGCTATACGTAGGATGCTCAAGGACTTCCTGCTTGAAATTTCTCAGCGTCTCATTTGTGTTGTTGGCAGTATGGGGACATACGTTGTCATGCAAGAGCAACACGCCTTTGCTGAGGAGTCCTGCTCGCTTCTGTTGAATGGCCTTATGACATTTCCTGAGGATGTAAATGTTCCCTGTAAAGGGAAGTCACCGCCTGGTTCCGACAGCAGCCCAAAGAATTTTATGCTGCTGGTTTTCATGGGCTTGTGAAATGATGGGACACAAGTGTCTCAATGTACAGAGAGATTATGTTTGAGAAATAAAAGCATTTTTCAAATCAGTACTCTTGTTTAAGTTCTATATCCATTTGTAACTTATTGACTTACCTACATATATTTGTAACGCACATCTGGCATTCAAACATTGGTGGGAACTTCAGTCATACATACACATGAATTTTCTTCTGTAAGATTGCCTCTGTGTAATGCACCATACCCAGGTTTATAGAGTAGATCGTGTGTGGTGCACCATTTAGGCCATGATGTAGCCAAATGGGCTGGGAGTTTTTCTCCTTCATTTAGTGGTTAACAGTTTTCACACTAAATTTTCTGTGGCGAATTTAGACAAAAGACATGTATGTATGCCTGGAACCTAAAAAGCATTACCTAGTGCAGCGTAACCATACCCATCAAGGGACATATACACAGGGACCCAAAAAATGTACACACACTTCAACATAACAAAATATCGGCATAAGTGGTATATTGGTATGTGTCCTGTTCAGCTTTGGTAGTGTCTGTAACCTCCTATAGTTTTAAACCTTTTTAAGTATTTTTAATATTGCCATAATATATTCAGCACTGTATAAATCTTGATATATGGTATATATTTTTTATATTTTATCTTTTATCTTATTTTGTATCTTCTATTTTAATTGTAACACCAACTTGAGGCATTTCTTTTTCTGTTTGTATATAATATGACGTGTTGCACTGATATGGATCCATATCAGTAGTTCAGTAATTAACTGTATTCCTATATATAATTGCCTGATGATGGTCTTGTATGACCAAAACATGTAGCAGGAATAAAAAATCAAATTGTAAAACATGAAAAAGTGAGTATATTTGCTGTGTTGATGGTTAACCTAATTCCTACATATATCCGTAAATAAACTCTGTAACACACCTTAATAGAGGTTATGTACGGACATCTTCAGAGTTTGAACCGAAGATATACCAGTAAGTTATTTAAGCAGATATTTTGTACGTTGAGGTATGTATACATTTGTTTGGGCCCCTCTGTTTGTACATTGTAACATGGAAAATGTTGATTAATAAGTAGACTGTATGTTGTCATTGAACACTGATGCTATATTTGTATGTTTGTTTGTCACAGATTAACAGAGACAGAATCTGGAAACAGTCGTGATATTCTCCACTTCCACTATACAACATGGCCAGACTTTGGTGTACCAGAAAGTCCAACAGCATTCCTTAATTTCCTAATGGTTGTCCGGGAGAGTGGTGCCCTTGACCAGAATGTTGGCCCACCTGTAGTTCATTGTTCAGCGGGCATTGGACGTTCAGGGACCTTCTGCTTAGTGGATTCATGTCTTGTTTTGGTGTGTATCACTGTAACTAATTAATAGTATAGTAGCAAGACCAGAAAGTTCATCACTGTTAGTATGCTACTGTTGTTCTCTGTGATCATGATACCAAAAAAATCACAAATGTTTTACCTTGCCACTGTGCTTTCGAAATACCAGACTTGTGTAGAATCTTGACTATTTTGTTGAACATGTCATTTGAAACATGTTGAGTTGAATGTTGTGGCATTGTATAAATTCGTTTGTTATGTTTATTCTTGTTACAGATTGAAGAGATTGGTATAGACGCAGTAAATGTTCGGGAGGTTTTGCTTGAGATGCGAAAGTTTCGGATGGGTCTCATTCAAACTCCAGATCAGCTTCGATTTTCATATTGGGCGATTATCGAGGGATCAAACAAGCACCTAAATGGAAGCAGTGGCGTAAGTGAAACTGTCATATCCTTTTATCACAGTACACAGTTTCACATGCCATGCTGTGACAGTTCATTGGTTATCACTGTCAGATGAAAAGTTAAATAAATGTTTCTTGTGGATGCTGTGTTGTGTGTCATAATTCAGGACTGTCATCATAATAAAAGTGGCATATTTTTCAGAGTTTGTATATTTGTGGGTTCCATCAATATTTTCAGTTTTATGTGAGTTGTCTAGCAGCAAAGTTCTACCTTCTTGAAGCTACTTCTCCTCAGTTTTCTTCCATGTTCTTCCTTCCTCCTGTGTGACATCTTTCCTAATATGTTGTTCCGTCTTGATCGTGGTCTTCCTCTTGGATGGCTTCCTTTAGTTTCATGTTAAAAACCTTTTTTGGGACTCTCTTGTGGACTCAGTATGTGAAGTCACTTGTTAGAGATAATGATTACATAATAACAGTTTATGGCAGAGAGAGGATGTTGCAGTTTTGACCACAATTGCACCAAAAAAGAGGTACAAATTCTCAAAGGTCAGAAATCCTGTACATTAAATCTGGGTTATTTACGAAGTCCGAATTCTCTAAATATGGGAAATACTATGCTTTCTGTGTGTGGCTTTTGGTGGGACCAGAGAAAAGAGTAACTCAGGATTTCATAGCATATTTCTGTATGTGTGTTGTCGCAGCAAGATGACACTTCTGAAGGCACAATAGAGCTGACTGCTGTGCCTGTGAACCACACTGGGCATGAGGACGCTGAGGGCGAGGAGCCACCACCTCTGCCGCCACCTCGGGGAGAGTCACTCAACAGGTCTCACTTCACAGAAACTGAATCGAGTCCAACTGGCAACCATGGTACACAAATTATATATTATAAGAGAAACTGGAAGAATCTTTTGATTTTTTGCTGGTTTGTTATGCTTCCAGATACGTCCTGTTTGACATTTCTGGCCCCTGCCCACCGAGGGATAGGTGTTGGCTGTATTTCTCAGGTAGAGGCACATATGCAGTGAACTCTGTTATGCCCATTGGCATGATGATGTTGAGAGTGATGGTCTGCACAGGGGGCCCACAGCTTGATGTTGGCTCAGAACTGCAGGGGGCCCTGTTATCCCTTACATTCTCAAACATTCCAGACTGTATGCCCCAGTTTGATGGGTTGAGTTCAGAATGCCCTGAACGAGAGTCCAGCGCTGTACCTGCTTGCTACCCGGTTCCCCCAGTTGTGGCTGTTTGATATGCAATGAAATGTATTGTGAATCCTGATAATGTAAATACAATTAATGCATAAAAATATTATATTTTGTTTGATTAAATCAAGCCAGATGAAATAGGAAAGATGTGCATCATGTATGGGGAAATGAGAAATGTATACAAAATGTTTGAACAGTTTATTTAAGATTAGCCATATGAGAGACAGGTGAGAGGATAATATTAATTCACATTTTATCTGTCTCAGAATTTGATCAGTTGTTGGATGTTACAAACATGTTCTTCTTGGTTCCATAGAAGCAGGCAATTTCTTCATTGAGATTATGAGTGTTAGAGCACTGTTTGTTGATTATGGGTATCATTAGCCCTGCTGGTGTGTGGATCAGTCAACAGCTGTTGTCTTTTTTTTTTTTTAATAATGCTTATGTAGGGGACTTTGGGATATGTAGTTTGTGTTCTTTTCAATATGGGATGCTGATTATACAGGACCCCAAGTCTTATTAACTTCTTGTGGGGAAGTGGCACCAAATCCATTCAGAAACTTAACATTCATTTCTCTTTTAATACTGTGAAACATCTGACATGACAGGGTTACCACACTATGTAAATTTGTTAAATCTATGATTTATAAAAACAGTTTTATCTCTACACTACGTGTGTGTTGAGTGTAACAGTTAACCTGTCTTGCAGTAGAACTGTCACCTGACACAGAAGAACAGCCGCCGGACAAACCTCTTCCATGCGAACCCCCAATCGAACTGCCTCAACCCCCCACACGACAACTGCCCAGTGAACCAGCTGGCTCAGATGAAGGTTCCTACTCAACTTCAAGTCCTTCTTCGAGCCCAGAATACATTCCACTTAAGGACAGGTAAGGAAGTTGTGAATGGAAGAGACAGCTGACTAATGGTGGTCCTGGCTAAAACTCCTTCACTGTAAAATGCTAATATTGTCTCATATAAGATTCACTGGTCAGGATGTGAACATTTTTCGTTCTGTAAAGATCAGGGTTTCTTGGCTGTCAGCCAAGTCTATAACAACATAGCTTCGCCTAAACAACTGGATGTCACTAAAGAGTCCTATTCTTCAAACAACAGAGCCACACCATGGCATATGTTCATTTTTCTTTAAAGAGAAGTATAAAGGACAGACAAAATTGGTTCTAGTTTTAACAGAGAGTTTTTAAACAGTACTTTTTAAATAGACTAATTGTAATAATTTATAAATGTTTTAACAAATTCATGCACGTCATAATAATTGTTATAAAATAATATTTTATGCCTGTGACTTTGTAATAGTAGTTTCCATATGTATTGGTAATGTCCTTCTGAAGATGGTCGCTCTGACTGAAACATGTAAAGGATGAAAGATAAAAAAAACACACACAGTATTTATCAATCACACTGGATGGTGTTAATAATCTCTTATAGTCATTTTTACTGTTTGTCATTATTGTTGCTGTTGCTTTTATTGTTTTATGCACTGAACTGTTAGAAAAGTGTTTGTGTCCACATTACACAAGTTATGCCATGGTATTATTCATCTGTCCTTGTCTACACCATGGATTTTAATGAAATTTGGTATTGATGGGTCTATACTGAAAGTTGATGTGTGAATTTCTTTTTATAAATAATAATAATAATAATGAGAATTTGCCTCCTCCTCCTCCAAACGACCACCGTCATGTATAGGCCTGCTCACAACCTGGTGACCTTGCCTCCACTTTGTGTACGTGTACCCCCATTTTCTCACTAGGTACTTTTATCCCCTGAAGCTGGTGGCAGCAGGTTGCTCTGTAATGTTAATACCCACCTGATGACACACCTCACATCCCAGAAGATGGAATTGTCAGAATATTTCTGTTCTATCAAAAAAAAATCTTGTCTTACAAAAAATAAGTACATCTGTAGTCTCACTAAGGTGTACAGCTGTTCAGCAGGCATGTACAGAAAAATGTTGGTCATTTCATAGCACACAAAATCTGCCATGGTACACACATAAGTATGCATATTTTCCTGGAATTAGGTCTTTGATGTACATTACATTTATTTATTATATTATATATACTTAATAGTTACAATTGTTCTGCTTACATTTTCCTGTTAATGCGCTTGATGATTTTTGAAATAGTAAATTTGTATTTTCAGTGAAGGAGTAACAAAATTTTGTGATTTTCACAACAGTTATCGTTTAGATTATGGCCTTCTCCGTTGTGACACCGTCTGCTCTCGTGTCTGGGTAACAGTGTTTCGGAGAAACATGCCTCCAACTTCAGGGCGGAAGTGAACAGGACAAGGATATGGCTAGGTTATCCAGGCAGGTTACACAGAATCTGCTTCGGATCAGCGGGAATGATGAACAAGAAGACAGCACTTTCCAGGGGGAGAATGCTGTTGCCACTGGAGGAACATTGCAGCTGTGAGAAGGAATTGGCATTAAGGGCTGTACTGTAAAGGTTCTGTTTCTTCTCCCCCCCTTGTGTACATCTGATTACCAACATTTGTATAACATAACCACATCCTTACCCTACCCAAACCCTGAGGGCGAGGCATGTTCCTGGTATCCACCTACCAGACTACATGGTGTCATAATCTAGGAGACCTCAGTTTGAAAGGGAACAAGAATTCCAACAGGTTAAACAAGATCTTGCTGTACCTGGAGGAGATGTGTTTGATTTTTAAGTGTTCCTGTGTGTGTGTTCACAGGGATGGGGTACGGATGCGATCAGTACGGAAGGACCGGTTATTACAGCAAGTGCGGGAGATAAAGCGCAAGCAGCAGGCAGCAGAAAGCTGGCAACAGTTGAAGAGGTCAATATTGCAACCCTTAACTATAGGGATAGGTGTAGGGGTGCTTTTGTTAGGGGGTGCAATTGCTTACAGTTACTTTACAAGTCGAGTTTGAGACCCAGGATTAGCGAACGCATGGACGGATCTGTTTGTTGCAAATACCAACAAGTCATATTGTCTGGTTCAGGGTTGATGGAATTAATATTGTCTGGTAGTTGAATTGTGGTACTAGGATTGACTATTATGATAAATGCTTCAAGTTATATATGTATACATATGTAGACATTCGAATATGGTAGGAAAATTACAGTCCCGATCGTGTAGGTAAAATTGGACTGCCAACTGAAGTTCAGTATTTTGTGTTCCAGTTCTCTTTTCAATAAAATATAAGCAATTAAGTGTCATGAGTTTGATAAATAAAATTTTACATCCATTATGCACATATGCTTTTCATACTATAAGAATCAAAATGAGTGAGATAAAGAGGTTACATAAGCAGAACAACCAAGGGAAAGTTTTATTGATTTCAATGTGTTGCTATTGAAAAATGCTTGCGGTTGTTAGGTAAATTTTCATACTGAGCAATTCTTATGGGACATCAGTTACCAGGATAAGTTGTTGCTTTTCACTTACTCAGTTTTAGTAATGAAAGTAGTTATGTGTAAACTGTTGTATTTCTGAAGTTGATTAACCTGGTATTTTTCTATGAATTTTCTTTTTGAGATCGAGAAATGTTGTAAGTACAGGGTGGCACAGAAGTAACACTACACTTTTAAAGTCAGACTATCAGTTGCCATGGACAAGTTATGTGTCCCCCCGGGTTTGTGACTCTCTTCATGCATGAATACTACACATCTGTGTTATCAACAGTCAGCCAAGGTCAGGTCACTGCTATTTGATGAGCTAATAGCCTCATAGACCCAGATAAAAGTATTGTCCATGGCAGCTCACAACCTGACTTGAAACTGTAGTGATCCTTTGTGTCATCTTGTACAGTAGTGTGTGTTTGGATACTGTCTGCCATGGAAGACATGTCTAGCCATTTCAGAGTCACAGAACATTGTATTTCAGTATGGTGTTCCTTACAGATCACAGTCCAGCTGTTTGGTTGACATAATAAGAAATGTCACCATGCTTTCGTTCGATAGAAGTAAATGTAATTTTCCCTGTGCTTAATAAAGCACCACACCATGAAGACAAATAGAGGAGTGAAGGTCCAGCTCCACATATTCTTAACCTGAGCTATAGGTGGAGATAAGGGGCTAGATTGGCCCTAGAGGTGACTTGAACCGTGGAAAAGAGAATAGAGTCTTTTGTATATTTATGCTTTATATTAAAATGCTCCCACATTCAGACCTCTGCCTAGAGATGGCTATCCTGACTGAGGTGTTTCATGGTTTTCCTTAGTCCTTCCTGTCCAGTGCTGAGCCTGAACCTCAGATCAGACAGTGCCCTCTTCCTTCTGTATTCTCCCCAATTTGTTGTTCAGAAGAGTTCTGGCTTCTGGGATATAACACTAGTCCATTGAAAGTCAGTTTACGTTTCTTGCTTTGCTTGTTCTTCATCCCTGAAAATGGAGGTGACATGTTCCTCCAAAATGTTGGTTGAATTTCGAGGGACTACACGACATTATATCCCAGAAGCTACAACTCTTTTTAATCACTGCTGTGAAAATCTGAAATCCTACATATAGTTCACAAATTAACCTGACATTTGATGCAATATAATTTCAGTTATTGAAGCTGTTATTAAAGAAACTGAGGAGGAGCGAACTGAACGTTTGTCAGTATTTTCCTGACTATTAGACGACAGCTTCTTTGTTTTCCTCATTTGATTTTCATTAAAAATGGGGGAGGGGTTCAGCTAATATGTGGAAATGTTCTAAAGAGAGTTTTGGGAAAACTGACATCTTGCAATTGTGGCAACCCTGAATCCCACATGTCAACACAGTACAACATGAAACAATGCCCCCATGTGATGTTTCTTTGGGAAACAGCAAGTCTGAACACCAAACTGAAGGAAATCTTCAACGGAGGAAATTTAATGCTGAGATTAATTACTTGGGATTGCTTAAATTGAGTGTAAGATGAAGGAAAACCTTAAATCGAATATTAAATGAGGATCTCATTGCCTTTCAAAATATTGGCCGTTGGATATTTGCTGGTATTATCAGCATACTATGTATCCAGTTCTCTGTTTATTGCTCTGTTGGAAAACTTAGTGTTGTATGCCACGCTCGCTAAGTGTCACTTAATCTATGGAACTGAATTAATCCCTTGTGATGGTTAGGAAGTGGTTTAAGGCACCATGTACAGTGTTGTTTCTAATGTTGAACATTTATACACTTGTGACATCGCATGTTTCAGTTTTTGTAAGTGCTGAAATAAATTGTACATGTTTAACTGAAAACTGATAAATCATGCGATGTCATTTTGATAGCAGATTGGGCTTGTGCTGTGCAGATTCCTTCATTCCTGTGAACTCATTGTGATGCCAGTTTTAAACTTTATTGTCCGGGAACAGGGGATTTTAAATCTCCCTGTACTGTGAATTTGATGGCCGGATTTCAGTCCATTGTGGTAACAGTTTGTTACCTGGAAATTTGCTGGTATTATCAGCATACTATGTATCCAGTTCTCTGTTTATTGCTCTGTTGGAAAACTTAGTGTTGTATGCCACGCTCGCTAAGTGTCACTTAATCTATGGAACTGAATTAATCCCTTGTGATGGTTAGGAAGTGGTTTAAGGCACCATGTACAGTGTTGTTTCTAATGTTGAACATTTATACACTTGTGACATCGCATGTTTCAGTTTTTGTAAGTGCTGAAATAAATTGTACATGTTTAACTGAAAACTGATAAATCATGCGATGTCATTTTGATAGCAGATTGGGCTTGTGCTGTGCAGATTCCTTCATTCCTGTGAACTCATTGTGATGCCAGTTTTAAACTTTATTGTCCGGGAACAGGGGATTTTAAATCTCCCTGTACTGTGAATTTGATGGCCGGATTTCAGTCCATTGTGGTAACAGTTTGTTACCTGGAAATTTTGATTTTAAATTCCCTAGTACTACATGGCTGCCAGCCATGTTGTAACTCAGGAGTAATAGTGTTATTGAAAGAATGCTTGGCCAGCTAGACTGTGCACACGTATAATTGCAGTAATGTAGTACTTTCCCAGTAAAGGATAAAGTAACGGTGGCAGTGGAAGAGGGCCAAAGGAGAGTCATGAAGTTTTACCAGACAGGCTTTTTATGAATCTGAAGGCCTCTTGTTGCTTCTATTTCTTGTTCTACAGATGTTGTCCTTTACCCTTTATATACATAACACAGTTTTGAAGTGATGTCATGGTATAATTTTTAAAGTGGTTCTGTTTTCTTGAGGAAAATGTCTAGTATGTATCTTTTCATAACCTGGTAGTTTCTCAGAGAACTGCATTGATGCAAGAAAATAGACGTCTCTGTGTTCAACATTAGTAACATTATGAAGTTCACACATTATGCCATTAGGTTTTCTCTGACTTCAGGTTTAAAATTAGTCCTTTCGGAATTCTTTTAGAACTTGTTAGCTATTGTCGTCCTGTTGTTTTTCAGTCCAGATCCATTTTAAAATGTGCTTATACCAACTGAGTGCATAGTCTCCATTATCTTTAATGGTAGAAGCAGAAAGCATTAAGAAATTAAATATTTTGTGTGACTGTACCATATCTTAACCATCTATATGTAAGAATATTATTACTTTTGTTTAAAGTCGGTACTTTGGTACCATCTAGAGTCATTTTCTTGAACTGAGATATATTTTCATACCCTGCTTGTGGGCATTTATCTGGGGAGGAATGTATCTTTATTACAAATGGGAGAGAGACAGTCTTAACTGATAGAACATGTTCAAAATGCTTTAAAGTACTATAGAGGAACAGTGAGGAAGAAAAAATTACTGAAAATGACTACAGTTTCATAACAATGCATGTAGCATAAATATGTGGAGTATTTTTGTCATGTATATGTGTTCAAAAGAAAACTGTTCAGGTCCCTTGAGATTCTCTTACAAGCAAGTTTTAGCACAACTTTAACCCTTTCAGTGCTGCGTTTTGCAAGTTCTGACAGTTCGCCTGTTATCGTATGAGTGTGGGAAAAGGACACTGCAGAGCTGAAAATAAATATTTTGTGATTAGTGTGGCAGATGCCATACATACTGTTGGCAGTGAAAGGGTTAGCAAATGATAAACACTTGTGGAAAGTAACACATTGTGTGTTTCTTGGGCTGAATTATGAGTTGTAAATGAATTTTGTTCATACAGCAGTATCCCTGTGAAGAACTTACTTTGTAAACATCTCAGTCATTGAAGAAAGACGTCTTCTGGGTTTAGGCACCGTGTATTCTTCGTTTTGGCCGACGTTTCGGAGGAACGTAGCGCCTCCATCTTCAGAGCAGTTGAATGGCTTGGAATGCGGAGAGCAGTAGCTGTGGTGATAGGATGTGAAAGGTGCTGCTTATATACGAAGTAGGCAGGGGGGGTGGTTAGGGAGAACGGACCAATGGGAGCAGTGGGGAGCGATTAAGACCATATATGGTGTGTGTTGATTAAGGGAGGGGGGGAGAAACCACCGTATCCAGTTTCACAAAACCGCCATAATCACCAGTAAGAGCCGTTACCTAGATCGCATAATCCTGGAGGCCGTTGAGATCGAGCTCCATCCTAACAACATGAACAAGGAAACAGGGTTCAGTCTCAACAAATCATGGAAGCCACTCATCTCTTCCATCAAGAGAAATCCTACAAGCCACCCCAGTTCTTCGTGATGTCATTGACGTCAGTAGCCTGTCCCCGACCAACCGGTTCTTCTTGTCTACCGCACTTCCTAGTGCCATTGACCTCAAGTTTCCTGGATTCGCTGGCCGTTTCCCCCTCCCCCCTAACTTAGCACACTACATCATATGGCCTTTATCGCTCTCAACAATCTCGACAGACATGGTAGCATCTCTTCCCTCAACTAGCCACACCAGTTCTTCGTCATGTCATTGACGTCAATAGCATGTCCCCAACCTACCGGTTCTTCTTGTCTACAGTACTTCCTAGTGCTATTGACCTCAAGGTTCCTGGATTCTCTGGCCGTTTCTCCCCCCCTCCCTTAATCAACACACACCATATATGGTCTTAATCGCTCCCCACTGCTCCCATTGGTCCGTTCTCCCTAACCACCCCCCCTGCCTACTTCGTATATAAGCAGCACCTTTCACATCCTATCACCACAGCTACTGCTCTCCGCATTCCAAGCCATTCAACTGCTCTGAAGATGGAGGCGCTACGTTCCTCCGAAACGTCGGCCAAAACGAAGAATACACGGTGCCTAAACCCAGAAGACTTTCTTCATTGTCATCGCCGTGAAAACCTCAAAACTTACATCTCAGTCATTGTTTGCTGTTTGAAAACTGTATTGAGTGTGATTCATGTACTAGAATTGAGATCAGTTGGTGGGCGTGATTTGGTTGCGTTGTAGCGTTATCATGTGATTGGAGCTAATTCAGACGGGCTTCAGTATTGATACTGTACACTTCCTCTCAGGTCCCACTGCTGTGGCATGTGGTGATTATGTGATGGTGAACTGTACTCTTAGTGAGAGGAACTCATAACAATAACACTGTGATAACAGCAATACTGATGTCTGCTGAGCCCATGGAAAGATGTCCCATGGATGGTGGAGTGATTGTAGTTGATGCTTCTCTCATCACTGCCTGCTGTTGTGAGTCTCTCATCCCTCTCTTCTCCGTGTCAGTCAGCCCAAAGCAAATTTTGCCAGGGAAGATTATAGAAGTGGAAGGTAATGTGGGGAAGTTTGCTGGAGGGAGAAGCATAACAGCTGGAAGAAGATATGGATGGGTTCAGTCCATGAGACTTCTTTCTGTGGCCTCACCATAAGTAGTAATGTGATTGTATGCATGATATGTCTGAATGAAGTAACTTGCATCATCACAATCTTATATTTCTGTCTCTGTTTCTCTCCCTGCCTGACGAACTTTCATTTACCATAAGTTTGTGACATAACTGTTAAGCTGAAATAGGATTGTGATCGCAGATTTTGATTTCTTACATCTGTTAATTGTACAGATTTCTTCACTTGTGAACTGATGACAATTGTGGAAGATGGAAAACATTTCGTAACATTACAGCTCTCAGATATCATTCATGAAATAGTTATAGTAGAAAATGAAGGGACATTGTTTCTGCCTTGGGTTATGCCATGGACTTAGGTTTGAGGCTTTTGTAGTTGTGTGGCCAAGATTCAGGGAACACACAGATCCTGTGTCAGACTTGAGCTGACAGACATCATAATCTGGCACAATGTCAGATTTAGTCCGATAGTTCCTGCATTCTTGCCTCTGATTGTCATGCAGTAAATAAACAGAGCTTAAAGCCTGATGAAGATAACAGTGTTCTGGAATATTAAGCATTGATTCACTGTTCTTAGTTATCAGTTTTGGCTTCCCAGATGTTGCTTTAGCGCTGGAAACAAGTGAAGGAAAGCCACCATGATGTTCATCCCATGACTTGAGAAATGCCTCAGAGTCCATTGGGACTATGTACAGTTGTATTTTATATGAAAATTGTGGTCTTATGGGATGTAATGCTGTGTAGTGTGGTACCTCTACCAGTCTGCATGGCATTTCATCTCACAACCCTGTAATCTTAATATTCACTGCTCTGAAAACCTGAAATCTCATGTACAGTGGAACCCCAGTTTAATGTTCTGGAATTAGGGTTGTACCTCATCACTCAGTTCAGTGACCCTAAATCAGTAGCCTCAGTTTTAAATTTTCTCCGTTTAACATTTTTCTTGGGGCACGCGGTAGTGTAGTTGGTTGAGGCACTATGCTACAAGCTGGAAGGTCACGGATTCTAGTCCCAATTAGCTGGATTATTTCAATCTACGTAATCCTGCCAGCTGCACTATAGCCCTGGGGTTGATTCAGCCCCTAACAGAAATGAGTACCAGGAATCTTCCTGAGGGGTAAAGGGTGACTGGCATGTAAGGCTGACAACCTTACCTCCATCTGTGAGTCGATTGTCTAGAGAAAATGTGGGATCCTCGACATCTCACAATCCATTGGGCCTTCACGGCCTGTTACAGGGATAGCTTTACCTTACCTTTAACATTTTTTTAAATTTAACATTCAGGTCCACTGTTTTCCAGACAGTCCTTAAATGGGGGTTTCACTGTAATTTATATGAATCTTACACCGATGTTGTGTTTTCGATATCAGAGAATTAGAAAATTAACTTCAAGATATATGTTTTGTGAACAAGTTTTTATTGCATTTCCTATTTAGAACTGTTTTTTAAGTAAGTCTTGCTTTTTCAGCTCAAAAGGAAAGTGTCATAATGTGTTAGTTTATGTATTGTAACATTCCCGCAAGATGACAGATTCAAACATGTGGCTTGGTGTGGTGGAGCACTGCGTAGCATGATTGGCAACAGAATGTTTGAAAGTGCCTATCCAATTGCAGAACATGAGGACTGCTCTGCAAATTTATCGACAATATGGTTACACAGAATTTAAGTGAGGATTTTGTTGTACTGGGAGTTACAGCTCTTTACATGCCATGCTTCTTCCTGGTTATATAAAACTGAAATGAAGATGGACCACAGAACACACACACAACTTCCATTCAGTGTACTTCACCAATGTATTTTGTATTTCTGTGACTTTGTATGAGAACATTTGTTCATACTTTTCCATGTTCATTATTATCTGAAATGGAACTGTATTTTTACATACTGTCTTTATATGTAAGTCAGATGACCCTTCTTGATATCTGCTGTGTGAAATAGTTGATGTAGAATGGTGTTTCCCAACCTTTCTTTGTCTGTGTGACCTTTTTAGTGTCAGTGTTTTCAGAGGGAATCCCAAACTGAAACCAAGAACTGCAGATATATGAAGGACAGTACAGTGAAAGACTAAGAATGTTAGATTGCATGACTCTTCTGTTTTATGCCTGACATTATTGACAGCAGGGGTTTTGCTTTCCTGGCAGTAAATTGATCAAATATAAATGATGATGATGGTAGAATTCTCAGTGGCATCAGGGCTGCCATACTTTGTCTTGTTGCCAGTCCAACTTTGTGTGGGCATGTGGCAAAATGGATACCCTTAGATACTGAAGTTTCAAGTCTAAATGTTCTTAACTTTATAAACTACAGTGGTGCTGTGTACCTCCTTCCTTAACATCAAGTAACTCTGCATTTCACTGCATTTATATGTTCCATTTGTTTCTCACAATAAATACCTCTTGTGTTCTCAGTCAATAACAAATTGATCTTTTTAATGGAGATGCTGTGTGTTTTCTGGGAGGTACACCATATCATTTGGTTAAGCTTCATGCTTTATAGAGTTTTAATTGAGTTTATTCTAGAAACGAATCAAAATCCATAAGAACATGTTTTTTTGTTTTTTTTTTTTTTGGAGGACCTAACCTGTAGGTTGTATTTACTGTGAGGTTGTGTAACTGTTCCAAATTACACTAATTTATTTTAAAAAAATCTAGCAAAGCTTGAAAGATTGGAAGTTATTACTTATCAGATTCTTAAACCAAAGCTGCAACCTGTAGAGTTCCTTGGACAGAATCAAAAATTGTAATTTGATTCTGACAAGAATCTGAGTGAAGTAAGATTGTTTTCTGTTTTGAAATTTGCTGCTACAGAATGTTATATCTGCAGCACAGTTTGGGAATCACTGACGTAGGAATGTGGAACACTGTAGAATGTCATGTGATGTTTCATAGCAAAGTGTAACTTGTCAATTTGTTTCTCTGTAGCAGTATTTTGCAGAATGTCATACCAATCAGAATACCCAGTTTTGTAAACAGAAAAGACAGTACCATTAGGAGAGGGTGTTAAAACTGAAGTTGGCTTCTCTACACTGTACCATGTGTTTATATCATGTGGTTATGATAGGAACTTTTTTTAAACAATAAAATGTTATTTCCAGTAAGCACTGTTGTTTCGTGCAGCTCTCTCAGTCATTCCAGTTATTTCATTTACAGGTCGAGTGTCAAGCGGAAGCGAAGTGAAGATGAAGATTAGCATTCACTTTGAAAATAATTTATAAGAAGATTAAAATGTCTGAACAGTAGAAGTGATTTCTGGTGAGTTCCAGTTGTTATAATAACTCTCAGTTTTGTAACCACAATTAGTGCAATAAGTTTATAATTTTTCAAGACATAGAGTCAAAATACACCTAACTCTTTCAGTGCTGGTGTCCATGTAGAGAATCATTCTTCTGTTGTTATATTTCTGTAGTGACATACAAATGCGATGAGTAGTTTGGCTGTTGATTTGAGGGGCCAGCTATTTCAGCCACCACAAGCACTGGGCCGTTGTGTACTGCTGATCTTACTAGAGCCCTTCACGGAGTCATGATGATAACAGCAGAGCCAGAACCATCTTGTCCAAGGCCCTCTTCACATCTCTCGGCTTCACACGTGCAGAGCTGAAGGCAGTGTATCTAGCTGGGCATTGATAATATAGCAGGATTCCTCTTGTCCATGTGTCCTGCATATGGAACCTTCTGAGAGGCCCGTAACATGTAGGAGCTGCCTCAATGCACAGTGGCCACCTGTCTAAGGGCAACAGGATTAGACAGTTTATGTGAAGGTCTTTCAACGAAGAGTTTTGGATGAGTCATACCCGGTGTTCAGAGTGCCTCTCCTACTGCAGCTCAGCCCTTCTGTAGCCAGGGCATCCACATCACCATGAATTGCCCTGACCTGACACCAGGAGGAGCATAACATAGTTCTGACAAGACAGGACATGGCTGTCGATAGATGGCAGAATACTTTTCCATAACTGATCTCATCCAGTTTATATGTCCAGCTTATCTAAGCCTTTGAGGTGCCTCTATCCTAACAATATTAGGTCCTCCTTGAGGACTACTACCTCATTGTGGAGAGGAGGTTTGTGGAACCAAATGCTGGTGGGAGAGTAAGCTCCTGGTAGAGCTGCCCATGCCAGATGAAGTGCAGTCCCTGGTTCCCCAGGTTGGGTGCTGGCTGTGCGGCTGATGATGTCACCCCAGAGAAACTGATGGCACGAAACCTCAAGAGGAGGCTGGGACACACACAGAGTTGTAGTGCCAGTAAGGAGAAGAAGAACTTAGGTGATTTAGCAGGGTATTGAACTTGAAACAATTGCAGTCATGCAATACTTTGTTACAAGATAAGGGTTAGAAGTTACATTTGAAGTTCTCATAGTGGTGACTATGAAATGTTTGCTCTTCTCGGTTGTAGCGCTGTGTAGTGCGGGGAGTGCCTGACGTTTTGGAGTAACATTGTGCTGTCTCTGTACTGCACAGCATTGCAGCCAGGAGGATCTGTTCTTCAGGATTTAATAGTCTCAAGTTACATAAATGTTATAATATTATGTATGCATTATGTGCTTGTAGACCGTTGATTTATTGTCTGGATTATCGCCTGTCCTTTATATAAATAAATGTTTTCTCACACATGTTGAGTGTCAGTCACTGTATTTCTTCATGACTGGGAATCTTCTTTTGTGGGTGGAAGTGGTCTTGTCATCACATCCATGTCACACAGGAATTTATGGTCTTCAGTGTCTAGTAGGTTGAGTGGGACAAGTTCCCCTGGGATGGGCCACACTGTTTCTGAAATAGAACACTTGTAAATACGTAACACCACTTGTGACAAGTCCCTACTTGCTCCACTGGACTCTTTGCTTGGGGTCAATGGTTAGTGCACTTGCTTCGTAAATGGGAGATCATGGGTTCAACTTAGGCCCAAAGACCAGCTGTCATGACCAAGGTCATTGTGGTTGCCTCAAAGAAAATGCCAGGATAGTACGCCAGATAAAACCACGACCATTTTCACGTTCTTTACAATTCATTATTCACTAGACATTCTGTCATTCCGCACCACATGATCTGAGCTGCTGATGGCAACATTAAATTAACTATAATTGCATAAAATGAATACTCACCTGCTCAAGGAATTCCCCACAGACAGATGCTGGCCTTCTCTCTGCAGAATCTTAGGCAGGTGAGAAAATGTGTCGGACAGACTTGAATTAGAGCAGGTTTTCTGCTGCATACTCATATGTCACAACCCCCTGATGTGTGTGACAGCCGTGAACAAGCAGCACGTTATCACAACCTTTGTTTTCAAGTTTGGAGCTCCATCTCTGATTCAGCACTTGGTTGCTTACTGAACTTCCTTTTTAAGTAAGGTAAAGGTGAAGTTTCCCCTGTACTTAACTAATTAAGCACTACGCAATGAAGGTGAATGGGGGAGTGGATGTATAGACACGTTTTCTTGGCCTCGGCACTAGTTTGAGGTGAGTGGTCAGCTCCTCGTGAAGTTACAGAATCAAATGGTTGTTCACCATGTTCACAAAAGTCCTTTCACCATTTCATTATATCCAGAATCAGTTGAACTGAGTCAATATTTTCACATTTCCTCTCTACAGGATGGTCAGTTGTCTGTTGAAAACGTCTTTGAAGATACAGCATACCTTGAGTAGGCAACTTTACAGAAGAAAGGCCCTATGTATTCAACTGGATCCCCAGTATCGTGATTTTGGTCCCTAGAGTCTAGTTACTTTCTAGTGATGATGCGATGATCTGTATCGTTACCTGCTGATGATACATCCTTAAAGATATTTTATTGACTTACTGTCTTAATGAAGGGGCTTGGCAGATGCATGCTGAAACAGTGGAGTACTTACCCTGGTAAGATTCACTTGTGGATATAGTACAGTGCGCGTTCATGTACTTCCGCAGGTTGGGGAGAGACTTGCACTGTAGCACGAAGTTGAGGAGCACAGACTCAGGCAAACAAGTTGGCACTGTCTCTGATAAACGGTCAATCACAGTCTTCAGAGCCACCTGCACAGAATGTGGCCCAAAGTTTGAAGCAACAGTAATGAGGCAGGATTATATTTCTTGATGTAGCCAAGGGCAGACTGTGTTCAGCGAAATACACATTTTAAAAATCTAAATGCTACAAATCCCCTCCTACTTCCTGGCTCTGCAGTGCTCTGAGAACCCTGGCCTCCTTTACAGCAAATGCCAGTTCTTTTCTAGTATTTGCCTCTGTCACTTCATTTTCAACTCTCATAAATCATTCTCTTCACCTTGCATATCTGAAGTCTGGGCCCTCCCACTTTTCTTATACCTTTTAGTTTACATTAATACATTTTCTTAGCCAGCCATGTTTGATCCATTCTGATCACATGCTCCAAGCACTCCAACATTCTTTATTTACTACTCGTTAGTAGATTAAGCATTTTGCATAATCCCTCCAGTTCTTGGTTCTGATTCTCCAGACACCTTCCTCAAAATGCTGCTCTCCCATGTGTTTACATAACTTAACACTGTCATGTGTGAGAGTAACTATAGGTGGAGTTAGGTTTGGTGACTCGATTTATTGTACAATTTAACACACGACTCATGACCACACTTTACGGTTCAATGTTACACACACATACTAGTGTTTTCAGTCTGTTACAGCCTCCACAAGTCGTTACCTGGCAATGGCTTCCAACAGCAGATGTGTGTTTTGCTCTGGGTTCCTGAACTATCCAAGTGCTTCAGATATTAGCTTCTGACAGCAACAGCTCACAATGGCTGAACTGCAGTTCTCTGACTAACTTATTTTCCAACCAACTGTTCGCTTCCCTGCAGTGAACTAACTCTCAGGTTAGCAGCCATCTCACGCCAGCCTCCTACTCTTCTGATAGACTCCAACTCAACCAACGAAACTCTGGACCTGTCCTGCCTATAACACATCGACACGGACCGCGTAGAAAACACCACACCTCGTTGTTCAAGTTCAGTTATTGCTTGTTAGGAATCTGTTGCCTAGCAGCGGGCGTTGTTTACAGAGTCAGTACTTAGCAACGGGTTTACATGCTACAGTACTTTTGAGCCGTGGACCATAAATATTAAATTTGATTTTGATTCAAATTAGTATAGAAGTTGCTGCGCTGCCCTGAAGGAAGGATACATATTGGGAATAATTTCGTCACGGTGCGAAGTGTACTTATGACGTTCTTTCCTATTTTGTGGATCATATTAACACCTTAACGTAATGCAATAAAATTACAATTGTACTTATGTAATTCGTTGAAGAGTAAGAACGTAGTAAGTGCACTTGCCCTTGTGCTGCTTTATTGCGCACTTAATATCAAACCTGTACAGCAAGGTCGCTCACTGATCTTGGTACTTTTCCGGCATATGCTTGGAGGGGATGAATAAACACATGCGAAACCTCAGTATAGCCTGTGTCCCGGGCTAGATTCGAACTGAACACCTCCCGAATACGAGGATAGAGAGTTACCGCTACGCCAACCTGCTGTGTCTTAAGTGCACTTGTCCCCATATTCTGGGTGTTGGTCCTATATTGAGGGGAGTGTGTTAGCTCAGTCAGTATAGTGACTAGATGAACAGGGTGTGATTCTCGGCAAAGGAAAAGCGCCAAAACCGGGCCTGGGTTCCACGCAACCTCAGACCCAACTCTTCCTGGTGGTAAAGCGTCAGGGATGTGAAGCTGACTACTCGCCTTCATTTTATACCGAGATTAAGAGTTCGCGGAGCTATGCCTCCACTCCCCCATACGTGTTTGTGGCGTGGTTCTTAATCGAATTCAGGAATTACTATTTTGGGGTGAAATATCAGGATAATTGTACATTTGAATGAGCTGAGGACATGAGCCGTTGGGGGCTCTTGTGAACACGTTAATGAACCTTCCGGTTCCATAAACTGCTGGGGATTTCTTGAGTGGCTGGGCGACTAGTGGCTTCTTATGAAGGGCTCAAGTTCCATGGAGTTCGATTCCCCTGTTATATTAAAGTGGTCAAATCTTCTTGAACAACTTCGGTTGTGGCCTTTCTGATACGTTTGTATGTACTTGTAGTACAATACAATCTCAAATCCTCTCATCGCTGCCAGGCTTCTAATTTTTGACAGACTCAAAAACATAGCCATGAACATACAGACACGTCCATGATCTCTCTGCAAGCCATATTTCATATTTCGACCTCCAGTGGTTGAGTAATTGTGTCTGTCAATTATAAAGTTATATTTAGATTACTTGTAGACATGGGGGCTCGCGGTAGCATGGTTGGTTGAGGCACTATGCTACAAGCCGGAAGGTCGCGAGTTCAAGTCCCGATGAAGTCATTGGACTTTCTCAATTGACGTAATCCTTCATATGGCCCTAGGGTGTACTCAGCCTCTAACAGAAATGAGTACCAGGAATTAATTAAAAATATTTCCTGTGGAGTTAAGCGCGGCCGGCGCGTAAGGCCGACAACCTTACCCCCATCTTTGAGCCGATTAAGATAATGTGGGACCCTCAACGTTTCACAACCTTATGGGCCTTCACGGCCTGTTACAGGGATAGCTGGTAAAACAAGCTGTTGAGTATCCTTGAAGCCGATATTTATAATGACGTAATCACAATTAGAATAAAGTGAAAGAAAAAAGCTTGTCTTATTTTCATTTTGGTCAAGATTTACGATATAAAATAAGACAAGCAGCATTCTACGAGAGTGGTTGTCGTAACTGAGGTTCTCCGTGGTTTTCCTGAGTCTCTCTAGCAAAATGCCTCAAATTAAGCCACGATCACTTTTTTCCACGCCCTTTCCAATTCATCCTTCACAAATCGTCCCATCATTGTACGCTACATTGTCTGAGCTCCTGTCAGCATCATTTCAAGTTCATCTTTTAACGTGCAGAGTGGGGCCAAATTTGGGACACGTTTGAAACTAGGAAACATCCATTAATCACATCATTTCATTACCTACGTTACGTGACTACCATAACAGTTACCTTTATAATTTCGCAAATATAGGGCCTTTACGACTTTGTACTTTCAAAATGGCCACCTTCCACATTGGTGCCCGGGAGAAGAAAAGAAATGTACGCGAAAACTATGAAATGTATCCTGACTTCTGCACCATTGTGCTAAGAACGCATTACGTCACCGCAACAAAACTGGTTAATGCTGTTTAGGGAAAGAGTTGCTGTTTAATGTGAGAATCACACGGAACACACGGATACACACTGTGGGCAGAATGCAGATTTTTGGTGTGTCAAAGCAGGTGGTATATACAATTGTATTCAGTCAATGCTAACAATTGAACTATTTTTGAACTTTGAAACATTCTCCCGGACATGCGCAGATTCCGAAATACCCCACATTCTGCAACAGTGAGTTGTGCTTAGGCGCAGGAGAATAGTTAGTTGAGATTCATTCATTATTAGAGGGGGTGCGTTTCCCCATGCACTTAGACCAGTTATTGGTCCACTGTGCGTCCCCCTTTAATTTCTACTGTCGCCATACCCTTCCAGTACTGGTGCTCTCTATCAGCCCCATTCTGCCAGCGAGGTCGGCCCTCTTCTGGCAGTGGTACCCGATTGGAAACTACTTGGGCGGGAAACTTTGCCTAATTTTGCTCAGAGGTCTCCTAGAGACATGAGGATCTTTTACGTGCCGTAAATCTACGACACGGGACCCACAGCTTAAAGTTCCTTCCGGAGGACTTGTTCCCTGAATATTTCCGCCCTTAAAATTTCCACGACCTCCGCCGGGTTTGAACCCGCGTACCTTGAGTCATGAGGTGGGAACGTTACCCCTAGACTACGGAGGCCGCCTAGTTGAGGTTACTGACCCCTGTTCGCTGGCTCAAGAACTTGGACAGTTGGTGCAGCTTGGTGATGCAGGTTCTGACGTGCCGCCATGTTGTTTCTGCTTCGCACGCAGGATCAATGTCCTGAAGGAGCGTTGGGGGTCTAGTAGTACGCGCGGCCCATTGTTTGTAAAATCTCTGCAAATAAGGTAAACCCGAACAGAAAACTAGCTAGAACAAGAATAAGACAGTATCCAGATGCATTCTGGGCTATTATATGTATTCTTCGTTGGTTTCAGTAATTTATTGCAGACACAAATCTATTGTCTGTTTCTAGGAATTCGTATTTGAAGTGGGAACAGGTTCTATTTCCTGTGGGATGAAGTGAGGAAAACCGAACAGTAACAGAACATGTATTGGTGACAGATCCCCTCACTGTTAACTATATTTATATTCTCTCTCGAGACATTTCTATTGTCGATCAACAATTGAAATACAACACTCCATAGAACCAGATGTGGTTCATGAGTTTGCGGCGAAGAATATAATGTATTCAACTTATCATTATGCAGTTTTCTCCATTCTCCTATCGTTGCCTCTCTCCTAAGTCCAAATATTCCCCTTAGCGCCCCCTTTCCAGAAAAAAAAGGGCAAAGCTATAGCGTTGGTGCTGTTCCCTATTCTGGATCGCCACTTTTTCTTTTCCACATTCCCGGACAGTTGTTAGACTAATAATAATATACACAACTGTGTGATTTAGCCTATTCTGTATGGGTGTGAAACTTGGTCTCTGACATTAAGGGAGGAACACAGACTGATGGTGTTTGAGATCAGGGTGCTGAGGAGAATATTTGGATCGAAGAGGGATGAAGTAACAGCAGGCTAGAGAAAACTGCATAATGAGGAGCTTCATAACTTGTCCTCTTCTCCAAGTATTATTAGAATGATCAAATCAAGGAGGATGAGGTGGGCAGGGCATGTAGCACGAATGGGGAAGAAGAATGCATATAGGATATTGATTGGAAAGCCGGAAGGAAAGAGACCACTGGGAAGACCAAGGCTTAGGTCGGTTAACAATATTAAAACGGATCTTAGAGAAATCGGATGGGATTGTATGGATTGGACTGATCTGGCTCAGGATATGGACCAGTGGAGGGCACTTGTGAACACGGTGATGAAACTTGGGGTTCCACAAAATGCTGGGAAATTCTTGAGTGGCTGCAGAATTGCGACCTCCTCAAGAAGGGCTCAGCTCCATGAGTAAGTAAGTAAGTAAGTAAGTAATAATAATTCCCCCATAATAATGAAAGTGACAGATCAGGAAAACAGAAAAGAGTCAGTTAACGGAAGACAAAATACTGTGAACTAAATGACAGCAAGCATTTCGCAAATTTTGTCTGCTCTTAACTGCATTATGAATGACATTTTTGAATCTGTTGCTTATTCCAACTTTGCCGAATTTTTAAAGAATTGCTTGGTTGTTCTTACGGTTTTGTCCTGCGTTCCTGATTCAGTTGTCTCGCAGAAATGTGCCACCTACCTGACGTACGTTATGACAGGCGATCAGCAATTTCATGGTGCCAAGTCGGGCTTCGCCCCCGTCTACCAGGGCGTATATCCTGTGCAGGTGCCGTAGAATCATTTCTTCGGATCCCTGGAATTGTCAAAAATTAACAGTGTTCTTAGCGGTCACTATGTGGACGGTCCAGTGATGGACATCTTTTCCGGCTCTGACTGAGCTATTGCTGCATTCATGGGTTTAAAGTCCACTCTGGTGAACTGGTTATTTGCGCCACTCTCAACTGGCTGATTCCACAGAGGGCAGTCCCTGAGGGGCCGTTAGTGGCCCAGACAGTGGTCATTAGCTCTTTAAAGCCCAGTGGTTATTATATTTACCACCTGTTTTAAGACACTAAAACTCTGTACTCCGCCCACAGAGCGTGTTTGTGTGTTCCGTGTGGATCTCACAATAAACAGCGACTGTTTCCCTAAACAGCATTAACCGGTTGGGCTTCGTAACGGAGACCTAATGCGTTTTCTGTGAGATTAAAAAAAATAAAGTAAAAGTGAAGGTATCCCTGTAACAGGCCGTGGAGGCCCATAGCTATGAGTGGTTATGAGACATCGAGGCTCCATATTTTCTAGGCAATCGGCTCACCGATGGCGGTGAGGTTGTCAGACTTACGCACCGGCCGCCCTTTTCTCCATAGGAAGATTCCTGGTACTGATTTCTGTTAGAGGCTAAGTCGACCCCAGGGTCATAATGCGACTAGAAGGATTAGATCAATTGAAAAAATCCAATAACCTCATCTAGAATCGAACCCGTGACATTACGGATTATAGCATAATGCCTCAAGGGACTGAAATTTTGTATATTATTTAGAATTAATTCCGTCTTAAAATGGTTAATTTCCCCGCTTTTATGGAACCAGAAAATTCGTTAGCTTATTCACAAAAGCCAGTCACTGGCCTCATCCCGTGCCAAATGAATCCAGTCTGCACAACTCCACTCTGTCTCTTTGAGATCCATGTTAATATTATCCTACCAAATAGTATATTTCTTTCAGGTTTCCCGACGATAACGTTATGCGGGCTCATCGCCTCTCTTTCATGCCCCTCTCATCTCTACCCCCTTGATTTGATGACCGTAATAATATTCGGGCCGGTCACCGTAGCCGAGCGGTCTAAGGCATGCACTGTCTTCGCTCGCTCGGAAGCCGGGATCGTGGGTTCGAATCCCACTCAGGGCATGGATGTTTATGTGCGTTTCTCTGTGTTTGTCTACAGGTAGAGACCTTGGGACGAGCTCATCACTCGCCCAGGGAGTCCTACCATATGTGTAAGATCTAGAAAAACCGAAGTGAACGGAGTTCATGGAGGTAGGTCTAGGCCCACTGGGGCTGTAGTGCCAGGGGAAAAAAAAAAAATAATATTCGGACGAGGCGTACAAGTTTTGAAGCAGTTTTCTCCAACTCCCTGTCACTTCCTTCCCCTTTCGTCCAACGTATTCTCAGCGCCCTGTTCTCCAACACTTTCGCTGTATGTTCTTTACCTTACTGTGAGATTCCAAGTTTCACGCCCATACAGAACAAGTAGAATTTTAAGAATAGTTTGTTTTTTTGTTTTTTTCTTTTTTGGTATTTTAATCTACTTGGGTCTCAATGCATACTCGTATAACTCAACACAGAAGTTCGCAAGTTTCGAAAACTCTACTGCAATTTGGATTCATAAGACGTATATTCCAGACTGGATTTTTGAAATTTTGTTTTCGTGTTTGATTTCGTCTTCCGTTGTTACTGACGCAAGTCTTGTAACAGAACATTCATAGTTGGGTTCCTGCCCCATTACTATTCACGTGTTTGTACAGTGATTAAGGGGCACATGTCGCCTAGAACAGGCACTTCCTTGCGAAATGGCTAACGCAGAATAATTCTGCTAAAGTATCTCTAATTACTCACCTCATACGTGCCCGATGCCCGGTACGTCACGAAGCACAATAAACAAGTTTACCTTGACGTTATCACCTTCATTTGCATTTTGGTTCGCACTGGGTAAAATTTACATACTCTATTATATTTCTATATTGAGTTAATATGAATTTCCATTGTTTTTATAAGAAATTAACTGAAATAAGAACTAATTTAGTGCTTAAAGTATTTAAGTAGATACCATTGTATTTCTTCAACAACAGAAAGAACAAGAAGTTTTTGGAAGAATTAATCGCATGACATGCTCTGTAAAGCCTGTACTGACAGAGGAACTGTGTGCAGTGAAAAAGGAAGAATTTTCAGTAACACGCTACATGTGCGAAATATACACTTGACGAAAGGCCAAGCGTATTCATGAGACAAACCCATCTTCTAGTAAGAGAGCATGTTACATAAGGACTATTACCGTGAGAGTTTAGTCGGAAAAAGTATTTGATCGTGGGCCTCAAGGGGCCTGGCGTCAAGAAGAACTAATTGGCGGTAAATTGCCAGTTTTAAAGTAACTCTGACTCTGGCTGTAGTCAATAACCCGTGTGGAGGCGGGGGCAAATACCTCCACCGTGACCCTGCGATTCGTAGGAGGCGACAGAAAGGGAAGTCTCCAATCTGAGAGAGTAAAATATGGTCTCAAGTCCCACTGGACTTGGACCCGAGAATGACAGCGCTGGCGAGGACCATCAACGATCGTAAACAACAGACCCGTCCTCTCGTCAGAGAGAGCGCCCGACATCAACACCTGCAACTGTCTGAGAGTAATAAAAATCTGGTTATAAGCCCCAGATGGGTGCTTTATTCCAAGACAGACTGGCCGACTGACCGTCGGTCGTAACATAAGACTTAGACGTAGAGTCAGCTGCAGTCAGTTGTCAGAAGTTAAGCTGAGTAAAGAGACGTGAAGTGGCTGGTTGATGGGAGAATTTAATTGTCAGTTCATCTGAAAGTCAGCCTGTGAAAGAAAAGTAGGAGGTTTGGTGTGAAATGGCCACCAGCCTGGGACCCAGTTGAGTTTTCAGTTAACAAAATTTCTGCACGGGCGGCTGTGAAGATGGGACCTGAGAGGGACGCTGAAGAATCTCAACTGTGTTAAATCCGTTACCAGGAAACGGCTAATGGAGATTGTAATAGACTGAGGACACTAGTCTGTGTGTGTGTGTGTCAGTGAACTGTAAAGTGTAGTTCCGAGTGGTGTATACATGTGGTCTGTAAATCCATTCACAAATCCATACCCCGTCTAGTAGTTACAATACGTGACAGTATTTTTAGTTATTATAATCAGTGAGAACATCATCAACAACATACGGTAACTCAGATCTGTTTTTACTGTTATGGGGTCCTCCACATTGTGGTCGTCCCGGGGCCCCTGCTACAGCCGACTACTCACCTCCAAGATATGTACGAAGAACTCGTCGTAGCACAGCAGGAATCCTGTGAGGATTTCGTCAGGGTCCTCAGAGTTCATGTCCCTGATGATTTCTTCGTACAGCTGCTTCACTGTCGGATCATCACGGAAACTGTGCTCCCCCACGTAAGTGATGCGGTGGAGATAAGTCACCTGGTTCATACAAACCATTTCTTCATTTCTCGCAAGCAAAGCAGGAAATTCAGTTGTCGTGTATAATCTCGAATTGTAGAATGTGGTTACAGCAAGAAAGAAACAAGTTAGGAAATATATGCGTATCGTTACAAGATGGCTCCCCTGTTTCATGTAAGACATTAAAGATAACGTACGTTCAATCGCCTCGAATTCCGCAGCAATTACGGAAGTTGGTTACTGGATATAAAGTCTGTGCTTCATTTCTATCTGCAGATTTTGTTCGAAATATTTTTTTTGCGCCGATAAATTTTTTGGCGAATTACGCTCTTAATTGACTAAAAACTCAGTCGGGTAAAGACCCGTTATTAGTGTTCCATTTTAATCAAAATTGGAATATGTCGACAGATACAAACCCTCGATGTAAAGTTTAGTTAAAATTATTTAGCCGTTCTGGAATTGTTGCGTGCGGTGTGTCACACTGTCATGGCGAGGCTGACAGACGCGATTTTGTAACTTTGTTTCCTAAAGCGCGTAAAAAAGAGTGGGCCAGAAAAACAAATAAATTTAAAATTATCTGGAAGGTCTGTATCATGGCCTATGTTATGGTATATAAGAGCATTTGCTTTGGGGGGACTGAGGAAACTATGATAAAGTCTCGGGAAACCTTGGAAATACAATGGAATCCTATTCACTACACCGTGACGCTTCATACTTTATTTAACGTCATATTTTCAACCGCATAGGTTATGTAGGTAGTGGCTAATGATAAGATAACTGAGAAATATGCAGAAGGCAGTGGTCAAGGCCCATTTTAAAGTAATGTGTGAGAAACTATAAGGCTAGAAATGCCCCGACCGATATTCTCACCCCGGAAGGTTCAAAATATAAAACAGGAATATGTGGGTAGTTACTATAGGATTCTGACGATGGTGTATAACACACTGATATATTGGGTTTTTGGACTTCATCCATCGTCCTGGTTTTTAAGATAACTAATAAAAACACGACGTTTCGAAAACTGGATCTGTTTCCGTCCTCAGGTGAAGGGAAACACCTATTCTGTTGGGTCCGTTAGAAAGAGCTAGCCTCAATCACTGGACCCAACAGAATAGGTGTTTTCCTTCACCTGAGGACGGAAACAGATCAAGTTCCCGAAACGTCGTGTTTTTATTAGTTATCTTAAAAACCAGGACGATGGATGAAGTCCAAAAACCCAATATATCAGGAATATGTGGATCATGAAGGGTTCTGATCATGGTGTATAACACTCAGGATTACTGGGTTTTTGGACTTTGTCCATCACCCGGTATCCTAAAGAACACGAAAATTGTCCAGTGCTTCAGGTTAGCTCCTTCCATCGGAACCAACAGAGAGGACATCTCAGGAGGGAAATAGGTCCAGTTTCCGAAACGTTGTGAACAACGGACGATGGGCAAAGTTCGGACACCCAACAATCCCAAGTGATAAAGCATTGGTGGTGGCCACAACATCGGACTCTTCGTTGGTCTGTCGGTTACAAAAAGGGAACTTCGGCTGCTTGCCTTTCATGAAAAAGTTAAATGTAAAAGTAAAGGTATCCCTCAGGCCGTGGAGGCTCATAGGGTTGGGAGATGTTGAGGTTCCCATATTTTCTAGACCAGTGTTCCGAAAACTTTTTCTACTCGCGGCACACCATGAAGTATCCATGACTCAACACGGCACACCAAAATGTTATTCCCCCGCAAAACGCATGATATCAGACAATTAATATAAATACGTAACGTGATTAACTTATTACTATAATGTTATTATAGTGTTATTTTATTATCATTAAACAGAAATCGACTCGTACATTTATTAACAATTAATTAACTTTAATTCCCTGTAGAGTGTAGACAATACACTTCTATTACTATTAAAGTAAATACAGTAATTCTACTCATACCTTCAATGTGACACTTGCGCCTGCGTAGCTGTACACAGGCGACTGATCCGTGGTGGAATCGTTGACAACGCAATTTCTCATTTCTTCATCGATATATTTGAGCCGCTCCCTCTTTGATGTCTTAATTTCTCTTAACGTCGAGAAGCCCAGTTCACACAAATATGTAGTTGAAAATGGCAATAACACATTAACTGCCATCTCGGAGATAGCCGGGTATCCACTCCTTATTGCCAACAAAACGTATCCAAAGGCACTTCGAGAAGTTTTAGTTTCAATGTTCTGTCTGCTTTTAAATCTGCAATTTCCTCTTGTATATTAATCGGAAGATATTCTGAATTCGCAACGAATGGATCACGAACCCAGTCGAAATCTTGTACACTCTCTCCAAAATACTTATTGAATTTCTGCTGCAGCATTTCTAAATGTTCTTTAATTGTGTTCATCACCACTTTATTGCCGTCAGCAAGTGGCAATACAGCCGGGAACATCTCCAACGACCCATCCGTAATTCTCTATATCCACAAATTCAGCTTATTTATAAATCCTTGTATCTTATTCATATTAGTTAGAATATTTTCTTTCCTAACTTGCATCTTTCTGTTCAGCTCATTCAAGTATACGAAAATATCGGAAAGATATGCCAACTTACATACCCATTCATCATCTGCAAATAAATCCGCGTACTCATGCCCCTCAACAGTCAAAAATGCACGTACCTCCTAATTAAGTTCAAATATTTACGACTTCTGTATGTAGTAGGAGTGTAGTGTGTTCTGATTCCATTTCCTGACACAAAACGGGAAAAAACGCCGCGAATTTAGGGGCCGCGATTTGATGAGGTTCACGACTTTTACTACTTCGTCCAGCACAACTTTCAGAGAAGATGGCAAAGACTTAGCAACAATAGCTTCGCGGTGAATGAGGCAATGATCGCATCGTATGTTAGGATTTACTTTGCGTGCTTTAGCAACAAATCCTTTAACACGGCCTGTCATAGAAGCGGCTCCGTCTGTACAATCACTAACGCAATCCTTCCATTTTAATTCATTATGTAACACATATTCATTAGTGACATGAAATACTTTTTCACCGGTGGCTCGCTCGGGAAGTTCTTTGCAAAAATCGAAATTTGTTGCAATTATATCTCCATCGATGTATCGAATGTAAGCAAGAAGTTGTGCGTGGCCGCTAATGTCGGTGGACTCGTCGATGTGAAGCGAGAACTTCTGACTGCCCTTGATTTTCTCCTTCATAATTGCTTCAGTGTCACGGGACATGTCAATAAAATACAGGGAAACCCTTGCTAATCCCTCCAGTTTTAGGGAAAAACACATACACAGAACACGCGGCAAGTATATCAAAGAAGCCGCGTAGATGCGAGAAAAATAAAAATAAATCAATAATGAAAACTATGATATAACAACAACTGTGAGTAGATAATTTACGTTTAGTTTCTTAGAATACAACATTACTGTACATAAAAAATCACGGTATGTAATAAAAATAGACAAGCATCATCTTATTTAATCAGTACAGTGGTTGAGAATAAAATACAAGCATATGAAACACGGTAACTGGGATAAAATAAAACGAATAAAATTCGACAATTAATTTCTTACAATAGGTAAAAGTTCGCGTCACACCTTTCACCTTGTGACGGCACACCAGTGTGCCGCGGCACACCGGTTGCGGAACACTGTTCTAGACAATCGGCTCATAGATGGCAACAAGGTTGTCAGCCCTACGCGCCGGCCGCCCTTTACCCCTAAGAATATTCCAAGAATATTCCTGGTACTCATTTCTGTTAGAGGCTGAGTCGACCCCAGGGCCATAGTGCGGCTGGTAGGATTAGGTCAATTGAAAAAAATCCAATGACCTCATCGGGACTTGAACCCGCGACCTTCCGGCTTGTAGCATAGTGCCTCAACTAACTACGCTACCGCGTGCCCGGAAAATGGTAACTATCACACGAAAGGGAAAGCAATAGTGCCGTGTTTTGCTGGCGGCTGTTCTTGTACGGACTCGGAGATCTGGTGGCTCTGGTACTGCCGTAGCATATGGACTTGAATCTGCCAGCCCTAGCATGCTGACATGTCAGTACCCCTCAGTACCCGACAAGCCATTGCAGTCTTGGAGGCCACGCCTCGGGATGGCTTACAGAACACTTGTATCTAAGTTCAGAAGTAGCGAATAGTGCAAACATCTTACCCTCTGTCCCTTTCGGAGCCTCTCTTTCACCACATCGTAAAGCGATGTCTGTTTCTGAGTCATTTCCGAGCCACGTCTGTTATGAGACCACCAAGAGTTGAGGAGCGAACACCATACGCGTGTTGCGTTACTTCCAAGTTGTCATGGAAACCAGCATGGCCTCTCGTAACAACGAAATCGATGTTCGTGTCGGAAAGAGGAAAATGAATACGGCCGGGATATCTCAGTCGGTATAGCAACGGGCTACGTGTTGGACGGCCGGGGTTCGATTCCGGCAGAGACAAGATATTTTTCAGTGTTCAAACCGGCTCTGAGGCCCACCCAGCCTCCCATCCAATGGGTAGCAAGGAGTTTTTAGCCGGGTTAAAAGCGGCTGGGGCGTGAACTGACCACCTCCATTTTGAGCTGAGGTGTGCAGTCTGGCCACAGGCAGATTCGCTGAACAGAACGAACCAATGCTTTATTCATGATCCCTTTCCTTTCCTTTCCTTTCCTTTCCTTCCCTCGCTCGCACAGGTGAGCGGACCGGCGCGGTGAGGCTAGGTGGGGGAAGTACCGGCTCCGATATGACAAGTGTGCGGGCCAAGCCTGGCGCAGTGTGTAGCTAGCCGCGGCGGTAAGTGTGTGGCCTTCAGGTAGGTGTGTGCCTACACGTAAGGATAATGTTAAAATAGTTCTCGAGCAATTTGTAGACTGGCCCAGCACCGGGTCTAATTGCGAGCTGTTGTGAGGGTGTAACGCCGTGCAATTCGGAGAGTTCGACGTTTCGGAAGGACATCGCTTCCAACTTCAGGGTTAAATGGTAAGCCAAGTAATATATAAGTTCTGGCTGCTTGCTTGGCTTAACCTTCGACCCCGAAGATGGAGGCAGCCTGCTTCTGCTGTTATTCCGAAACGTCGGGCTGTCTCCGAGCTACACGGAAGAACGTACTCTTCACAGATTAATACATGTCCAATTTCGAAGAATGATTTCGCAGGATGCTTTTGCTCTAACATCAGTAAACCTCGAAACTGTACGTCTGAGCACACAAGGGTCCAGCTCACGGAAATTCTCGGACTTTTGCAACTTCATTCAGTAGGGTTGACAATTTACCCATTGTTTTATAATTGCCAGCGTTTTATAAAATTTATGCAGTGCGTTGTTTGGATTTGAACCATAGTGTCTGACTACTATTGAAGACCCTATTTTTAAGAGGGATCTCTGCATATTTTAATGTTGCTATTATTTTGAGCAAAATATCTGATGCACTGCTTTAAATGTGCAGTAACGTCTTGTCCCTACCATCCTCGGCTTCTCACTTCAGAGACCCAGGTTCAAACCCAGGTTATGTCATGTGGGATTCGTGGCACTGGGCCAGGTTTTTCTCTTGGTACTTCTGTTTGTCCTGCCAATTATCATTCCACCGGTGCTTCACACTTATGTATCTTGAGGGGCTTGTACAAGGGGCCCAACTAAGGCCGCAGCACAACAGAACTCTGGCTCGCCCCTCTCCTATGATATAGAAAAGAGAGATGCTTGTAAAGTTTTGGTACGGAAAGGAAATAGTGAGAGTATCTAAACGGAGACAAAAATTAAGAACCTGAAGAATTGAAGACAAGGCTGAGTAATGAGAATGCTTGTTATAATCCCGAAGAATGGCGTCTTATGGGATGAGACGCTTCTGCCCAGAAGATGGAAGCAGCAGGTTCAACCGAAACCAAAATTATACGGCTAACAAGAAAACTTACTGAGAAAAATATTCGTGTTACATTTCCTCCACCACTTTTGTTCGACACGTTTTTCGCTCCAATAATTTTTTTTTTTTTTTGAGTTTTGGTTGACGGGAGGGCAGAAGGTATCGAGGTTTTCATGTGTAGTGTCCGTCATATTTTGTACCTATTTTAATCGATATTTGCACTCCATAACACGTTTTATCAAAGTTTCCATACCAAATTTCATGAAAATCCATTCAGCCGTTCTCCGATTGTTACAACTTTTCGTTGCGAACAGTCCGAAAATGTTGTTCAGCTTTCAGGACTTCTGCATTGTAAACTTGATGGCTGTCACGTCGGTAGCTGAAAGCAAAACAACATTTCAATATCATAATGACCAGTTTAGCTTCTTCCCGCTTATCAAAGACGCCCTTCTACATAGGATACTTTGTACTCGCCAGAAATTTATCTGAAGATCACGTAACGATGTAATGGAAACATTAACTGGAGATGGTGAGCGTTGGATCTTCAGCAGGGACATCCTCGGATTCCTCATACACTAACTGATTAACCATTTTGATGGAGGATATGTCTTTAGAAGCTGCTATTCATGCATGTGGCCAAGGAATTATCTTCTTGTAGAATTCAAGTCCTCGTTTCTTTGTCCCTTTCTCCTGTTTGCGGTATCTGTGGGAAGAACCGCGTATATGGAGGGGACTTGTCGCTTTAATATGAGACGCTCGTAACAGAGTGTATACATAGGAAATGGTACAGTCTCCTAGACTCTTACGTTTATGAGGTGTGAAATTGATTAGTGTTATGTGAGTTTCATCTCTTCAGGACCTTTTAGCACTGCCTCAGTGTAAACTGCCGCAGCCCAGCTGCTGATAAGTTCAGTCACCCAGTCCCTTTTATCTGCGTCGAAAGTCAGTAGTTCGTGCCAATACCAGAAATCATAAATATCATACATATAATTAATTCACTTAATGGTGGGTGGAGTCCAACTGGGTCCACTCGGCACGGTGGCCACTGATTGGCCTATTGTACCTGCCCCGGGTGATTATGATGATGGAGAATTAGGTGGAATGAAGATTGGCAGGGGAAACCGAAGTACTCGGAGAAACCCCGCCCCAGCGCCACTTTGTCCACCACAAATTCCAGTTGACCAGGCCCGGGGTCGAACCCGGGCCGTCGCGGTGGGAACCAGCATAGCTTGAGCTATGTCGCGGCCCATCATACATACAAGACAAGGAGTTCTGGGTAGAATTAATCGTCTACTTTCCTTGATAAGACACGGACCGCACAGGAAGCGACGCGTCCAATGATTATTCTATTCTTGCATGTATTCTTTGACGCGGGAAGTTGTTTACTGAGCCGTTGCGTAACAATGAAAAGAGGGATACACCTATAGACATACAGACTGATGGGAGGGATTTATGAAGTGTGTCGTGATATACATACCAAACTTCATAAAATTGGTTCAACCATTCAAAATGTTGAGATCACAGACAGCAAGGTGATATCATAAGCCTACTTTCATCTTTCAAATTAAGGAAAGTGGGCTAAAAAGAGCGGGATTATCTCAGTCGGTATAGTGACTGGGCTACGGAATGGACGGCTGAGGAATCATAATTCGATTCCCGGCAGACGTATAAAACTATTCATTTATCCCCAGTGTCCATTCCTGCTCTGAAGCCAGTCCTACCTCTTATCGAATGGGTACGGGGGGGGGTCATACTCTGGGGTTAAAGAAGCTGGGCACTGAAGCTGACCCATTCATCTGCGGCTAGAGCTGAGGTTAATTGCGTGGATCTACACCTCCACACCCTCATACGCCTTCATGTAGGTGTGCTAAACTAATTAAATACTGGGACAGTTTAACATTTACCTTTACACTATTTCTGTACGTCTTACAGGTTTCAAGATAACTAAAATATAACGAAATTGCTAGAGTTGTTAAAAATCTCTGTGCGTCTGCGCAGTGTTTCATACTGCAGACTCTAAAACGCGTAGTGTTCATAGCCTAAGCAGCTACAGGCTCTCGCAGCGGTGCTTATACAGTTCTGTCTTCTGGGCTCTAACGTCATGTAGTCCGTTGAAAATCAAACGACGTTTCGGAGGAGAAGCTGTACAGCAGGTTCTGCTTTCTAACTGTCTCGCGCTGGTTTCTTGCTTCGCTTATTCTTGGACCCTTAGGATGGAGGAAACATGTTCCTCCGAAACGTCTGCTATCTTTAAAACGAACTACACGGCGATAGAAGTCTTCAACTGCAGATTCTCGTCTGCAACAAATGAACGTCAAAAACAACGAAAGACAGGAAAACCTTCAAGGTACATAGGTGAAGTTTTGGGTCCGAGGTTTTCACGAACTGAACCCCTTTCCAACCCAGACGATTCAGTTCCCTGTCACTTTCGCGCATATCGTCCTGGTGCACAACAGCTTGCAAGCTTCTGCGTGACTTTCCGTCTTCAGAAGGTTCAGAAGTAACGTAAACTGCAGAGAGACTGGTTCGACCGGACCTTCTAGTCAGTGGCATGCAGTTCAGTGCCCTTCTTTGGGTTGAGGCACTATGCTACAAGTAGAAAGGTCGCGGGTTCGATTTGCGATGAGATCATTTGATTTCTTCAATTGACCTAATCTTTCCAGCCGCACTATGGCCCTGGGGTCGACTCAGCCTCTAACAGAAATGAGTACCAGGAATCTTTCTGTGGGTAAAGGCCGGCCGTCGCGTAAGGCTGACAATCTCACCGCCATCTGTGAGCCGATTGTCTAGAAAATGTGGGAGCCTCGACGTCTGACAACCCTATGGGCTTTCACGGTCTGTTACAAGGTTATCTTTACCTTCCTTCATCCCCAAGAGAACCTAGCTGCGGGTTAACTTCAGAAAGACGCCAAAAGCTGTCCGACAGCTGACATCTTTTTCTTCTTCTGATTTTTATATTAGGTCCTCTGGCCTGTTCCCACCAGAAATAATATGGAACTGTGGATCTTATAGACAGTTGATAGGGCTCCTTGGACGGGCGATCAGCCCTGTCGCAAGGCCGCTAGCTAAACACAAAACAACATTTCGTGCCTAGACTCTGAAGCCACTATGAAGGCCGCGTCTTCATTTTCAAAAGCTATGTAATTTTTGTACCATTGACTACTGAGATCACGAACTAACCCATGGAGCGGGATCATTACATCTGGGGGGGGGCAGGATCGCTTTCAGTGTCAAGACTGTCTTGTGTAGAATAAGGCGATGGGTGAAGGAATTGAGAATATTCTGAATAAGTAGCATTCCTGGCATAATCGAGGTACTATCCCAGCATTCGCCTCGAGAGTCTGAAGAGGACCACGAAAATCTAAGTCAAGATGTGCCGGCCAAGGTTCGAACCGATCATTTCTCGAATAAGTCTATAAAACATTACCACTATACCACCCTTCATTATGTCTCTATGGAGAAGCTGACTGTGGCTCAGACCAGAAATGTGCGACTTTTATGGGGCCTGACGGTTCATAGCCTTGCTCACACTAACCGACCACTCGCCCCCGTCCTGGCCCAGATGAATCCAATCCGGTTTCTTTGAAATTCACCTTGCTGTTGCTGTCCCATATACGCCCAAGAATTCAAGTTCTCCCAGTCTTCAGACGAAATTTTGTGTGTTTCTGAGTTCTCCCACCTGCACCACAACAGTAAGGGTACGAACATGGTGTGTCTGGAATGGGACAAGAATCGTGAAAATTGAGGTATGCAAATTCTAGAAAAATGCGTTTGGAAAGTGAGAATTTCATGTTGCAAAGAACGTCTTCCAACCCTCAACTCTAACCCTTTAAATCACAGTGGTTACTATATGTACTACCTGCTTTAACACTCTAAAACTCTGAATTTTGCCCACACACAGTTCTTTTACTTCGCTCGTATGATTTTCATAATAAACAGCGATTGAAGAGTTCTATCTG